CCCACAGCAGCTTTATAGCCCTGTTACTCATGCAAAGACAATTTAAGGCACGTTTACATTTGTACTAAAAGCTTGTACTGTCCAGTAAATTGTGTTTTGGGGGGGGGGGGGGTGGATTAAAGGTTTCTCTATGATATCAATACCATCATCCAAAGTACTTTCAGTGTGTAATGTGAATATATTACCAGCAGGCATATCAATTGTGGTTGAGTGCAATGAGAAAATGCTGCTTCTATTTCCGTGCTTTTGCTGCCAGCTACGGTATATGCCCTAATTGGATACCCTAGCCCTTGTGCTGCAAAGGCAGATGTGAGAAAACACTGAGCTCAACAACTGGCTGACAAGCAATTAGGGATTGAAAAGTGGTCTATGGTGCACCTTTCAGCAAAACCAAATGTATATTAAGATCAGAAACTGACATCACAGCGGGGAAAGTCCTGGAAAGTGACAAGTCTGCAGAAATATTGATAATATTGATGAAGAACAAATCTAACACTGTGCTCTTTGGTTGGGTGTAACATTACAGGCTTGGTTTGCTAGAGGGGGAACATGAGCATGCAGTAGCAACAACAAGCTAATTAGCGCCCTGTGTTCAGGAAATGTAATCATTTAGTAACTTCCGGACTTCACTCCTCTGCAACGTTGTGATGCCATGAAACCATTGCTCTCTCTGCAGGCTCTGGAGGGCCCGTCTCTGTGGTTACTGGCAGAATACTAAATCCTGCTTTTAAAGAGCTGCCACAGTCCAGCTGCAGTTTGTCAGTGGCATCAGACTGCCCTCCGGTGAACAGTCGGTGAAGTGCAGATAAAGAAATCAGTATCGTTTCTAGTGAAATACATTTGGTGTGGAGTTCTGTTTGTCTGTCTTATTCTGTAAGGAACATGCTATTGGTTGCATGAAAATGTACTATTACGCCCTAGGAACTGATTCCGACCAATCATATGCTATGCTCTGGGGGGTATAGTGGGCAAGGTTCTATGGAAGCCCTGAAATGTCCTGGTTCAAATATTGATCTTCCTCTGTTTGTGATAATACAACCTTATATTCTCTAGATAAATACTTCTGTGTGTGATTATCTTACAAATTAATGTTGTTTTCCCCAGATAACAGGATCGTTTTCTTGAGATCTAATCCAATTAATTTCAAGCATCAAGAAAACAATGGTCCTCATTCAGAAAGCGATATGCAAACAAATACTCAATACCTCATATTTTACTTGAAAGAAATGACTTTCCACCTAAAGTTTAATTCCACCAATTACTTTTAAAGTGGTCTTCCCTATGGTGCCTTATTTTAAACTGAGCTGCTGCATGTTTTAAAGTTGACTTGATGAACTGGTTTAATTTAGAAACCCTTATTAAACTTTTGGCCATTTTCCAAACCAAAATTGGAGCAGACGATTTATTGGATACCAAATGGACGAGATGGCTTCTATTTTAGCTTCATTTTATGTATATTTTTAAATCCCCCAAGAGAAAACACCCATTGATTGATTCAGACTGAGAGTGACGCCGTGCAACAGATTCCCTCCTCTCGGGGGGGCGGGGGGTGTAATGTCTGTAACAATGGCATGTGTAGCTCGGGACCCTTTGTACCTGTCACATCCCATATGTCTGGCAATTCATCTTTCTGTTGATATCATCACCTCGTCTCATAACTCATCATTGGTCTCCACAGTACGGTTTCTCTTACGTGACTACAATAAATAGGATTCTGAGAAATTCTGTGATGACATTACTTTAGACCGAGTGTCTCATTTTACACTTTTTATGTGATTTGTTTAAGAACAGACAAATGAAGGACCATTGTGTAAAAAATAGAAAGTATTGTTAATTCGGTTCGCAAGCCCAAAACTTTGCAGGAAATTGAATTCCATGCTAAATGGATGACTTTTCACAGAGAAGGGTAATTAATCATTTGTTGATTTTTTTTCTCTGCCCCCTTTCAGAGACCCCTTTTCTCAAAACAGCTTGACATTTTTGTAATTACACCATTTCTCCCCGGCGCAGAGCAACTCAGCAGGTGTTGACAAACTGTGGGGTCACATTGCCGCAGCACAAATTTAACAAGGCTGTATATGAACCCATTTATTCCACACAGTTACAAGTAGTCCACGCAATAGAGTTAAAGAGGACATATTCAGCTCATTATCAGGTTCATATTTGTATTTAGTGCCTCTATGACATGTCTCTATGCTTAGATGTTCAAAAAGCTCTTTATTTTTCTCATACTGCCTGTGCTGCAGCACCTCTTTTCACCCTCTGTCTGAAACCAGAGCCCAGTCTGCTCTGATTGGTTAGCCGGCCGGTTCTGTTGTGATAAAAAACATTAAAACATTTAATTGATAATACATGGAAAACTTGTGCTGAAGCAGTTTGAGCGCTGTCACCTGTTAAGGGTAAACTACATGACAACAGCTTTTGAAAAGAAGATAAAGTCTTGAGAGGGTCTACTGTATACAACACCGTATTACACTGTTATTACACCCACATTTCACATTAATGCACCCCTATTACACCCATGTTACACTGTTATTTTACCTATATTACACTGTTATTAGACTGATCTTACACCGTCTTAACACTGTTATTGTCAACCACCCCAAGTTCTCCCCCACTACACCCCTCCTCCCTCCCTTCACTGGCTGCCAGAATACGCTTCAAGACGCTTGTACTGGCCTACCATGCTGTAAAGGGATCTGGTCCATCCTACATCCCAGACATGGTCAAACCATACACTCCAGAACGTGCACTTAGCTCTGAATCAGCCAATCGGCTTGCTACTCCCTCACTGCGAAGTGGGAGAAGGTACACCTCAACAAAGATACGCCTTTTTGCTATCCTGGCTCCCAAATTGTGGAACGAGCTTCCCACTGATATCAGGACAGCGGAGAGTCTACACATCTTCCGTCACAAACTGAAGACTCAACTGTTTCGCTTATACCTTGGACACTGAAGAGTTTTACTTATGCACCAGCACCTACAATAATATTGCTTGTTTGAAGTAAAATGTCAGCACTGTTCTTGTTGTCCTTAGTTTGAATGTTTATGGTTTATCGCACTTATTGTAAGTCGCTTTGGATATAAGCATCAGCTAAATGCCATGTAATGTAATGTTATTACATCCATTTTACACATGGACACATCCTGTCAAATGACTGTATGCCCCAGGATACAGAAACCATGTAAAGAGCGGGGGATCTATCGTTGCCATATCTGGCTCAGGATTTAGTGTTTCAGTGACTTGTGCGATGTCATTGTTGAAGCTTTGGCATGTCAGAGCAGAAAAACAATTCAACACTACTGTTAGATCCATGGGACGTTGCTCAGAAGAAGCTTTTTGTTTTCCAGCTGATCCAAATGCCAACCGGGTCACACCGCACCGCAAATCCCCAAGCAGAAACTATAAATAAACTATCAATGCATGTGAAATCAATACGAGACTCCCCTTAGAACTTCCCATAGGAACAGAGAATTACCCGGCTAATTGTGAAAAAGAGGCGAGGGCCAGACAAAAGAAAATCCCATGCATTCAAAGATGCCTGCTCATCCAGCATGCAGATTTATGCATGGCGCAATTAATTTGCCATTAAGTCGGGATTGATTTCGCCTTCATGATGCACACAACCAGTCCATAATTGCCTGTGGTGTTGCATTCGCAGCCTCGCCTCATTACAGAAACAGATGCTAATTTAGCAGAGCGGCTTCAGGTTGACAGGTGTGTGAAGTGAGTGTGTGAAGAGGGTGTGTGTTGGGCTAGTTGGACGGTGAAGTGTCGAGAATACATCATAATATGGCATCTTCATGAGAGGGAAAAAATATATTTTAATGGTAATGAATATCACAGGCAGTAATTGGTGTGTGAGGATAAAGAGACTTGATAGCGTGTCAAAACAAATCATTCTGCTCGATTATTAAGCTGTTTAACGTAATTAATGCAATTAGAGCACTTTCATTTGCCTTTTCTTTCATTCATTAGGCTATTGTGACCTGTGAGCCAAGTAATAACTGGAATAAACAACTATAGTTCTTCAAAAAACGTTTATTCTTTTCACAATAAACCTCATTTTATAAATTCAATGGCAACAGCTGTATTGAGAGAAACAATACATTTGAGGGCTTGGCAATATATTGATATTAAATTGTGATATGAGAATAAATATTGTCCTAAATGTTTTATATTGTAATATGGAATAGTATTGTTTATTGCTGGTTTTGAAGGTTGCACTACACTCAAGTGATTTAGTACAATCACGTACAATGTGTTGGAGCACTAGCCAATAGAAGTGCTAATGTTACATAGTGATGTTATTATGTGACGGAAGTAAACCTGAACAAGTTAGATGCCGCCTATCACAGTGCACTGAGATTTTGTACTAATTGTAAAGCACTTACTCATCACTGTACCCTGTATGCCAGGGGTCATCACTGTACCCTGTATGCCAGGGGTCATCACTGTATGCCAGGGGTCATCACTGTATGCCAGGGCAGGTTTGCCTTCACTTACTGTACGGAGGCTCAGTCACTGGTACATGTTCATATATAAAGCCATGTTGGGTAAACTTCCATCTTATATCTGCTCTCTGATCACACAGAGAGTTGCAGGTAGCTATTGCCTGAGATCACATGATGTAGTGTTGTTAGATGTGCCAAGTGCAAGGACTGACTTAGGTATGAAAGCTTTTATGTGCGCAGCTCCTCTTGCTTGGAACAGTCTTCAAAAATAATTGAAACTGAGCAATTTGGTTCCACTGCATGTTTTTAAAGCTTGGATAGGTGAAATGCCCTTTGATACTGTTGGTACTTGTAAATGTCGATAGGTATGTAAATGTAGCCCTGTAAATATGATGTATGATGTCCTTTATTGTTTTCTGTTGTTTTATGTTTCATGTGTAACCTACTTGCTGCAGGTCTCCCTTGAAAAAGAGATCGATGATCTCAATGGGACCTACCTGAATAAATAAAGGTTTGAAATTAAATGAAATGAGAAGAGTCCAATCTAGGCGTTTCAGGCCGGGGGGGAACCCCAAAAAGGATAATAGGGCCTCTTTAATATCATATCAACATATTGACATTACTGATGATTATTTATCAAAAATATCAAATATTTAGTACCAATAATTAACCCTACAATATTATCACAAAATAGATATTGAAGTCATTTGGCAAAAACTATTAATAACTATAACTATACATTTGATTTACTCAAAATGGCCCAATACATACCACAATACAGACGAACGTAAAAAACTAAATCAGCTCAGTTTGTTCATGACATTAATGTCTCAGTCAAGTCATGTAGCGGCCATGACGTGGAGTCCAAAAAACAAAGATTTGCGTGGGAGACTTGGTGGGGAGCTCAGAGTTCACATCTTCTTGGCCCGTTTCTTGGGTCTCTGGTTGAAAACGGGCGAAGTGCTCATCAAGGAGTCGGGGGAATGTGAAGGGTAGCTAGTGTCCGACGCCGTGCCTCCAGGAGTGGGCGCCATGGCTCCTCCCGTCTCGCTCATGGAGGACATGGGCCCCCCCTCCTCGAACACATCCCCCCCCAGGACAGCGTGGTGGTGGTGGTGGTGTCCAGCCCCCTGGCCCTCCTCGGCATCCTGCGGCTCCATCTTGACCTGTGGCCACAGCGGGGAGTTGTGTGCCCCGCCCCCACCTTATAAGAGAGGGGAACCATTTTAGTAAAAGGGGATTTTTATGGCAAGATTTGTTTAAATCCACTTCAAAATGTATAACGGTAAAACTGTAAAATAACGGTGTAATAAAACATCAATAAACTTGGCTATCATAATATTATAATTTTTCTATACTGTATAAACAATATTTTAACCCGCAATAGCCTGTTAGCACTTTTTAATGCCGATTTACACATTTTCATTGTTTTGTTTTAAAATAGTACCATGATTTTGGATTTTACAGACTCCAGCTGTTATTCTTTACACAGATATTTCCTAAAATTTGATATTTTTCAAAATCACAATATATTGCCCTACTTCCAGCATCGCAAAAATATTGAATCATAACTTATTTGTCATGATACACATCGTATAACCTAATCCTTGTCAATGCACATCCCTGTGTTAAAAGAGTAGCTTGAATTTATAGCATGTATCTTCCCCAATAATGGTGTTTTTTTTTGTGTGGTTCTCAAAACTCCAGCCACATTTCCCATTAACCGTGTTTCTTCACTCTGAAGAGAATAAAGCTCTTTAGGATTTGTTCAAAACATAAGAGCAAGAACTAGTTTGACATCAACCCCTTCGTATAATGAGTCAGTTCAAGAGAGGCACTTGCAGAACTGAAGTCATAATAAGCTGTGTTTAACGTGCAGAGCAATAACCAATCCAGCAGCTCTCAATGGAAATGTGCCTCCAGTGGGACTATGTGTGTGGCAGTTACACCTCAGCATGTTTTTGGTGATTCCTGTCCCACCTCAAGGTGTTAAGTTGACAGTTCTTTAGAGGAGGGGATTTTGTTCACATACACAGTAGGACATCTGAAACTGTGTTACATCAGCACCATTTACACCAATACCGTGAATGGAAAGAAGAAATCTGCTTCAACAGCTTTACCCAGAAACAAGCTTTTGATTTCAACAAAATTATTTATTGAAACTTTGAAAATGAAAAGCACTAAAGGGCAAGAGAGAGAAAAAAATATATATATATTTTGGGGGTGAACTGACCCTTTTATGACTGTTTTTATTTGTCCAATTGCTTTTTTGTAGTGCTGCTTCTTATTTTTTTATTATCATGGATACATATGTTAGTCTACTCTTTTAACTTGTATTTGCAGCTGTTTATTTCCCCTGCTGTGGGACTAATAAGAATTTCTGATTCTGATTTCACTGATCCCCATTACTGCACAGTCAAATAAAAACAAATACAACACTGTAGGCTTAATCTAGAGTCTGCACATGTAAATCAATAGAGAGATGAATGCAGAGTCAACAGGAGTCCTGTTCTCACCTGAGGCGTGAGGAGAGTGGTCACCATCCAGGCCTGAAGCCAGCCTCTCACTGTGGGCCCCCAGGACCCCTATGGGCAGTGCCTGGTCCCCGGAAGCTAAATCTGCCTCGGGCTCCTCGCTCACAGGGAAGGAGATGTCACTCATTGGCTCCTCCTTGATATGGGGCTTGGAGTCCTCCAGGGCCTTCTCCGGGTTCACCAGGCGTTCATACTCCTCCGACAGATCTTTACTCACCTGGGGGAGGAAACTCTTTTATCAGTCCCAATTAAAGATCTCCTATCATGCTATTTTAAGGCATATATTATGGGTCTCAGATATATAAAAAACATGTCTATGATGTGTTTTGCTCAAAAATACCAAACAGATCATGCATTTTAGACATCCCTCATATCAGCCCTGTTAGAGAAGGGCTGATTCTGGTGAAACGCCATATCATGTTCTAAACCACATCAAGGATTATTTCTGAAACAGTATGGAGCTCAAATGCTTTTTCTCTTGCGGATTTACTACAAGGTGAGTTCCTTTTTTTATTTCCTGCTTTTTTACACATACTCTCTCCAGTACAGGTTAGCTCTGAGTGTTAGCGATGCTTGCTAATGTAAACAAAGACCATATTACGTCCAAAACACGTCGGGCAATGTTTCTGATAGCAACTTTCTGATAGTGCCGTGGGTCCACATCTCCGATATTACGTCATATCAGCAGCAAATCTGGATCAGATCTCCGTTGTACCTCCGTTTTTAGAGATTTGGGTACGGAGGAAAAGAGAGAGGGTTTTGTTTTCTGACACTTTGTGAGTTCCCTGACACACCGGGGACACATTTATGTATAAAAGACATCAAAAAGTGCATTTTGCATGAAAGGAGACCTTTAACTGGTAGATGAAGAAATGTAAGAGCTGAGCCTAAATGATCTAATATAACAATTTATTCAACAATATAAAAAGATCCAACACATCACAGAAAGAGGCTACTTTCTGCTCGACACGTGTCTATCTTTAGAAGTCCTGTTGGCAAAGAAGTCGCTAAATATCTCCCGTTTGGTTTGTCTCACTTCCAAGCAGCTTGCACACAAGTTGCCATACGCTCCTCTGTTCTCACTCGCACCAACTTCTTTATGCTTTGTGAGATGACTCAGCATTGTTGTGGTGAAGCCCTGGCAGCTTGCACTGACAGCGCTGTGCCAAATGGGATTATCATTTCATCTGCTGACTGTTATTTCCAATTAATTGTTGATTTGACTAAATAAAGGGAAAAGTTTCAATAATTAACCCACAGTTTTTCAGTTCTGATGGCATCCTACAGTAGAGGTGGTAAACGCTAATGGGGGGTCTTCACATGTTTTTGTGTAGAGAAAGTTCATATTGAAGAAGGTGGAACCGGAATTTCTTTTGATGTTTTTTATGAATAAATAATTAACAATTAATTTATTAATAAAACCGTCTTTTTCCTAAATACACTTTATATCAAACTGCTACATGATGACATTTTCCAATTACATTAACAAAGTTATAAAAGTATATACTGAAAAATGTAAACATACCCCTTATCACCACATATTTAACTTTCTGTCATGATATCTATATTTGGTCATTATTGGAAGACTGACAGAAACTGTTTGTGAATGTGATATAACAGGGAGGAATTACCTCTTTTCTTTTTGAAATCCAGTTTTTGAAATGCCCAAGTTGATTCTTCACATAGATGCAAAACAAACCTACAGATATCAATATAGATTCCCAAGTAGAAATAGAATGTCAGACTATGGAAAGTTGCCAAATGTCACAGTTGTGTGTATTGCACTATTTTATGTTTTTTTAAATATATTGAACATTGTATTTTGCATAGTTGAAGAAGCCTTAAGATTTGTTTTGCCAAAACTACCTGGAGCTATTGTGCATATGACAAGAAAGCCTTTAAATCCTTGTGACAGTGATTGTCAAAAAACAACCCTCTGAACAGTAATGCCCTCCCCCCTCCTCCCCCCCCTCACCTGCAGCATGTAGCTGTGGTAGTCTTTGATCCTCACTTGCCAGAAGCGCTGCAGGGCAAGCACGCTGCCGATGCCCACCTCGTGGAACACCTGCTCCACCACGTCGGGGAAGGGACTGGCCCCCAGCCGGGCCTCGCGGTCCACCGCCACACGCAGCTTCCTGGAGAGGCGCAGGTAATGCTCGTGGACCAGGTCGGTGAAGGTCTCCAGCACGCTCTCCTGAGCCGACTCGAAGCCGGCGTGGGCCAAGATGGTGGCCACGGACTGATAGAGCAGCGGCCTGCAGGAGGGCCAGCTGAGCTCTGTGACCGGCTCTCCTTTACCCCTTAGGAGGGAGGGAACCAAGAGAGGAAAGGGGATAGACGATGAGTGGTTGGTGAATTTTGGAACGGCTGGTCGATAATTCATTATCATCATTTATTGTGTTTCAATCAGGAAAATTACATTACCTTTCAAAACCATAAGACCAAAACCATTTTTTTAATGTATTTAAACTATATGCCTTTAGAGACTATCTAAGGAACTTTAATATCTATGGATACATGTTCTGATTAAATCATAATAAAACATATACAATACATTTGTTTAAAGTGATATTCACAAGCAGGTACCACATGTTTGCCTTAAAAATACTTCAACAATAATCTATTATCAAAGTGGGTTCTTATTATAATGCTGTCAATTGACTTATCATTTATTATAATACAATCTTTAATGCAAATTAGCTCTATATAGGAATAAAACATTATGGCCAAATCACCCAGCATTTACTGTATGAGGTCATATCCCTAAAATGTTGATAAATACGTAAAACAAAAAGTAAAAGAAAGGTTAAAAGATCTTAACCTTTAAGTGACCTTTTAGTGACTTTTTAGTCTACAATTGATATGCTTAATGGAAGTTATTTAATAAAAATTACAAGAGACCAGCTTCTTGGCTCGGACGTATGAACTCACTTGTAGAAGTCACTCTCAGGGTCACTGTGTCGGAGCAGGAAGGGCTGCCGCGGGGCTTTGCTGTCTGCAGGTAGCAGGTCATCGGGCATGTTGGGGGGGGTGGGAGGCCGCAGCGGCAGGTTGGTGTCAGCCTCCTCCAGCTTGCTGCCGCCCTCAGAGGTCGCTGAGCCCTGACCCTGGGCCTGGGCTGCAGACAGGAGGCCCCGGAGGCGGCGGGTGTGCTGACACAGCTGCACGGTGTGGATGGTGAGGCTGCAGGGCTCTGAGGGGATGTCCAGCATCGTGGTGGGGCGGGGGCGCTGGGCCGAGGGCTGGTGCATGGGGGGGTCCTGCATCTCCACTGAGCGGAACTCACGCTGGAGCAGGTCGAAGGAGCTGCGGCTGGGAGGAGCCCCCGCTGGCCCGGGGATCTCGCCCCAGTAACGCATCATGATGGGGGATCAAAGCTGGAGAAATCCAAACTGGAAATGAATCTGAAAATCACAATAAAGGCTAAAGTTGGTATAAAAACATCAGATAAAAACAGAAGAAGCATTGATTGGGATATTTGGATACACCTTCAATTAACTAATTAATTACAACTCTTTTGGGATTTTTAAAATGTTTTTTTGCTTGGGTTGCAACCAACATTCATTAACATTGTCATTTAATCTGTTGATTATTTTCTCAATGCATTTTTCGATTAGTTTTTCGTCTGAAAAATATTGATCAGTGTTTCAGAGCCCAAGATAACTTTGTCAAATGTCTTGTTTAGTCAACAACTCAATTACATTCAGTTTACGTGTCATAGAAAATTAAAGAGACCAGAAATATTTCACATTAAAGAAGCCGAATTTAAACATCTTCTCAAACTGATTACCAACATAGTTGTTAATTAATTGAATAGTTAACATCTAATCCATCACTTTTCGTAGCTGTGGTTTTTGCCCATATAGATTGTCAACTAAACATAACAAAAGGTAAACACGCTAAATACTAGTAGTCAATAGCCGCCAAATGTATTTAAGTGAATAGGGGCATGTTTTCAGACCTGTAACAACATTGGAGCTTATGTTGTGATAATCTTTCGCTTACTCAATACCTTATATTAACAATTATAATCGGTCCACACTGCTTTTTGATTAAAAAGACACTATGAAGAGAAGAGCGGGCGATGCATTGTTTGTTTATGGTAAAAGAATGTATCTGGAAACTCAAGACTTTGTGTTTGACGAATAGTCAAATATTCGCATACGCTTTGATTTGCGTATGCATTAAATTCAAGTTTTTACAGGAATATTATTTCGCTAAATAGCAGAAAATCAAAGAACGTCAGGTGTGACAGGAGTTTGGTACAGCAGCAAACAATAGAGCAGCAAGTAACACATTCATATAGGAGCAACGAGAAGGCTACAGGCTAGCTAGCTCAGTTCGCATGTTTATCTACCTAAATTCTATAAATTAAAAATGCAACAACAACTCACATTACACAGGAATTAATGACACGATGGTTAATATTTGAAACCAATGGCTGTTGTGTCTTTGAAGGAAGTTGCACAGGAAACAAGTATGTCCGTCCTTTTTGCAAAAAACTCGGGTGAACATATGAACAAGAAGTTTAGTTCCGCCACAAACATTTGTTGTGACTAGCATAAAATAATACATTCATTTGAAATTCCATGTATTTGTGTTTTAAATGATTTATTTACATTAGTGTTTTGTAAAATACTGTTTATAAGCGGTTTTATGGAGTCTCTGGAAAAAACCCGGGCACATTTTACAGTCGCACCAAATAAACATGGCTGCCTCCCCGCCGTCAGACGTGTGTTTGGAAAATACGGATCACTCTACAATGGAAACAGACGAGTGCTCGGCCGAAGAGAATAAGGGAGGACCTGAAAACAAAACCTTCAAGAAAAATGACCCAGAAAAAGAGGATACGTTTAAAAAACCGGCTCTTTTCGCAGTTCCTTCCCTCACTATCAAACGCAGTAACGCAGCTCCGTCCAAACCAGCAGCAGCCGAGATAAAACACGTGAAAGAAGAAAACGAAGCTAAAGACGTGGACACAGAAAGTGCAGATTCTTCTGGTGTTGTTATTGACAGCAAACCCACCGGAAAGAGCCAAGAAGAGGAGAAGAAATGCGCTAAAGACAAGAGCGTGGCTCCTGTCAAACCCAAGCAAGAAGCGAAGCCAAGGGTGCTACAGTCTGCTAAAGGGCCCCCAGTTGGTAAATTCCCCCCTATCCCATACACAGAGCCACTCTGGGGAGGCACGGCTCCAGATACTCCCTATGCTCTGGAAATCCTTAAGAACGGCACCATCATTGACACGGTGCCCCTCACAGATAAAAGCTACATCGTGGTTGGACGTCTACCTGTGTGTGACGTCCCTCTGGATCATCCCTCCATCTCCAGGTACCACGCCATCATCCAATACCGCAGAGAGCAGGGAGAGGGGGAGTCTGTGGGGGAGGAGAGGGGCTTCTACGTCCATGATCTGGGCAGCACTCACGGCACTGTGGTCAACAAGAACAAGATCCCCCCCAAGACCTTCATCAGGATCCGTGTGGGACATGTGTTAAAGTTTGGTGGGAGCACGAGGCTTTTCATCCTGCAGGTAAATCCAGATGCTGACCCCCCAATTAATATATTACTGACATGTGAAAGATTACATTAAAAGCTTTGGGATGTGTCACTCTACACTTTACTACAAGCTAGGTACCGGCTATTAAAATAAAATCATAAAATAAAATAAATTAACTAAATATAGGATTGTTTGCTTTTATTTTAAATAATTGTCTACTACATACACAAGCGCAAACAAACTTAGAACTAAATAAATATGCACAAATAAGAAAAAAACATTAATATCTAAAGTATTTATTAAGTATTTTTACAAATAGAAATGGAATGGAAATTATTTAAAATGTTCTTTTATTGAAAAAATTAAACTTTTGAATAAAACCCAAAGACATTAAAAAATAAAAAATATCAGAACATTATATTGAATACAAATAGTATTCTCTCTAGTAGAGTTTGAATGCATACGTGACATTTTTTCAAAGCCTTTTTTGACTCCATTTGGAGGTGTGTGAAATGTGTTACATTGCCTTGTTTGATGTCACTTGAGTCAGCGTTGGTTGGGTTTTTTTAACAACAACAAGGCTTGGGCTACATTAGTCACTACTAGCATAACACACCTAAATCTCTGACTGAACTATTGATGGTGAGGTGCGTTGTGGGTTATGTAGGCCGCTGCGTTAATGGTAACGTTATGTAGGAAAGCATGGAGTAATGTGTGCTTTCCCCCCCTTCCCTTGTTCCACAGGGTCCAGAGTTTGATGAGGAAAAGGAGTCCGAGCTAACGGTGACCGAGCTGAGGGAGAGAGGCCGGAAACGGAGGGAAGAGCTGGAGAAGAGGATGACGGGAGACGGGTCCGATGATGATGAGAAGGAGGAAGACGGGCAATCTGAAGGCAGCAAGGTCCCAGGCAAACCGTCAAACGATGAGTCGGGCTGTTCTTGGGGAATGGGTGAGCTTATGTGTCATCTGTGTTGACATTTCTCTTGTTGTTGTCAACTTTCTCTTAACCCTTAGATGCACGAGTGACTGGACCCTACCCGTATTAGAATAATGTGTTTTTATGCCATTTTTGTCATTTTGGTTAAGAAAAATCACTTATAAAATATTTCTAGTGTGAACCAAAATATAATACTAAATATTATACAAGTGATTTTTCACTATTTATAATTTTAGAAAAAAAATTACATTTTGAAAAAAAAACGAAATTCCATAGAAAATGCATGCGGGTCATTTTTGACCCACTTATGGAAGCTTGGGGTAGTAATACAAAAACTACACTTTCTTAAAATGTATAACATTTAAATTTAAAATTTGAATGGCATGATATCCAAAACATGTTTGATGAGGAATAGCTGGAATATGAAATGATAACAATTTTTAATTACAAAGATACTTCAAGAATACCACCTCACCGGGTCAAAAAAGACCCACTTGGAAGCTTGGGATAGTAATACGAAAACTACAATTTCTTAAAATGTACATTTTTAATTTGAATGGCATGATATCCAAAACATGTTTTTTGAGGAATAGCTGGAATATGAAATGATAAAAAAATGTAATTACAAAGATACTCAAGAAAACCACCTCACCGGGTCAAAAAAGACCCACTTATGCATCTAAGAGCACCTTAATCCTTGTTGTTCCACTTTCCTTTCATTCCATCTGTCTCTTTAAATCCACGCTGCAGGTGAGGAAGCCGCTCCGGATGAAGACGAGAACGAGGAAAACCCGTTTTCAACCGAGTTCCAGGAGGACCAGGAGGCCGCGTACCTGAAAGACCCAAAGAAGGCTCTGCAGGGCTTCTACGACAGAGAGGGTGACGAGATTTACCGTTAATCCACAGACATCCGTTCCTTCTGTTTCTTGTGTTTCCTGACTTTAACGTGCTTTATCTTAGGAGAGGAGCTGGAGTTTGAGTATGAAGACCAAAGCCATGGCAGCTGGCTCTGCAGAATACAGTGAGTGACGTTTGCAGAGTTTAAAAAACATATTTCCATGTCGTCAGAAAGTCTGTAGAGTCACACATTAATGTTTTCATCAGGCTCCCGGTGGACGACGCCATGGGCCGACAGCTGGTTGCCGAGGTGACCCACACAGGGAAGAAGAAGGACGCAGCCATCCAGTGCAGCCTGGACGCCTGTCGGATGCTGGAGGCCAGAGGGCTGCTGCGACAGGAAGCAGGTGGGAACTCCAGAGGGAACGTATCAAAAATGTTATTAATAATACGAAGGACTGCATTAACTGTTTGAAAATACTTTTTCTAGTGTCCCGTAAGCGCAAGAAGAAGAACTGGGAGGACGAGGACTTCTACGACAGCGACGATGACAACTTCCTGGATCGGACCGGCACTGTGGAGAAGAAGAGGAACGAGAGGATGAAGAAGGCGGGGAAGGTGGATGAGCGGCCTGAGACCTACGAATCATTGGTAAATAATCTCCCTACTGTTTATGTTTACAAAACCTGTGATTATTACTGTATTCTGATCCATACATCTTAAATAATCACCTTATAGTATTCACTGTAGTGTTAATTTCGTTGACTAAAACTATGCCGAAATATGATCGTCAACGACCTTTTTTTCCATGACGAAAACGAGACGATGACGAGACGGCACCGACGGCAGTAAACAATAACTGTAACAAAATCAACATGCAATATCGTTGACGAAAAGTGACGAGACGAAAATGTAGTTTACTAAATAAAAACTTTGCCAAAATCTCTCTTTACTTTCGTTGACGAAAAATGAGGAGACGAAATATTATCAAAGATAACGTTACATCTGATAGTCAGTTTTTCTCCCAGCAGTTCCATTTCCGGTGCTGCGGCTGGGCAGCAGCTGTGTGTCTGTGCTGCGGCTGGGCAGCAGCTGTGTGTCTGTGCTGCGGCTGGGCAGCAGCTGTGTGTCTGTGCTGCGGCTGGGCAGCAGCTGTGTGTCTATGCTGCGCGCGGCAGCACATTTGAATTACACCGGGCAGCGGCACACTATGAACTGTCAGGAAGACTCGAGTCTAACTCATGGTCTAACTAACCTTACTTAACAGAAAGTAAAATGGCAACAACAGGGCTTGGGAGCAGTGGTCGCACTCGCGTTAACCGAATACCCCCCCGTCAGCGCGAGTGAGTGATAAATTGTGCACTCGACGGGTAATAATGGATTATGACGGAAATGTTACGATCCTGTCCGTCAAAATGACTGACAACGAAAAAGTCTAACGCCACCACTGCTTGGGAGAAAGAAACGATGTGATATTTGGGCCCATTTTCGCTACAATGAGGCGGAGAAAAAAAGCGAATGCATTGTTTTATCAGAAGGGAAGCAATGTGGCCATAACACAGCTGGTAAAAACACCACAAACCTGACCAGATACTCTCTGCAAAGCTGCTTTCTTAATCATTCAACCTGTGTTTTTCATCAAGTAAGGACACGATATAATCTTATTGTGAAATAAGTTTGACTAAAATGACAAATTATTGGTTTTGGCTAGACTAGTTTGACTGAAATGTTCTATATAATCTGATGACTAAAAAAGACTCAACAGTTTTCATTGACAAAAAGTAGACTAAAATAATTAGTTTTCTTTGACTAAAATAAGACTAAAATGCTCAGACTTTTAGTCGACTAAATCTTGACTAAATAAAACAGGATGAAGGTGACTAAATATGACTAAAACTAAAAAGGAAATTTAACACAGGACTAAGACTAAAACTAAATTAAAAAATAGCTGACGAAAAAGTTTCCTTTATTACATGCGTTTGCTTGGAGCTAATCCCGCACGTCAGTATGTTGGACACTCGCATTGACAAGGATGACAGAGTGCTGATATGGAGAAGAATTGGTTGGGCTCAGTCCTAATAACATACTATTTCTTTGTTCCTTTTAATGATAAATCTGTTACGCAAGGGATTGTGTGTCACAATAGCTCCAAAAAATGCAAGCTATTCCTCAAATGTGTGGTAGTAGGACATCCAGATATTTTTGGC